CTTAATGATCCTAATGGCCAGACAAGGTGAAGAAGCTGCTGGACCCGGTAACCTTCAACAAGATCGTGGCCATTGCCGGGGACGACCAGATTGGATCTCTTTGTCCAGCGGCTGAGCTTCGAAAGTATGTCGTGAAAGAAAGCTTGCCTGAGCATGCTTGGCCGATGCATGACGGCCTTTGACAAACGTCAAAGAGCTAGACGGTGCCATTCGGCGCCTGCCAAGTAGAGCTATGGCCCCTGCAGCTTGCGGCCTTCAGTTTGCGTCAGTCGGATCAGCGAGTGTGCAGCACGCCACTCAGCACGGATCGTTTGAAATCCAGAAAAAACATGCAAAGCATCCTTCGCAGCCAGCATGTAGAGGCCAGCCAAAGCAAATCGAGGAAGGAAGAGACTGGGCTCGCTTGTGCAGGTGGAGATGTGTCCGTCAGCGACTCGGTTGCTACGTGATGCTGTTCCCCCAGCTTTGCCAGTGTGATCTCGACCACAAAGTGGTGAAAGGTCTGATGTTGGGGCCATGGCCCTGCATGGCTATGGATTAGTGGCTTTGGCACAGCAAAACCGAACAGTGCGAAATCGCTGTCCCGCTGATTCCCATCGGATTCCCATCTCCATGCAGCATAATCTGCATAAGGGAAACCTCAATGTTTCACGCCCCATGACGGACATCGCAATTTCGATTATGGCGGTGAAATCTTACTTATCCTCAGGGCCAGAGCCACACTCCGTCACCTCCTCCTTCCTTGCCCGATCTTTATCGGATTTTCCACTGTGTGTTGCAAGCTCCAACCAAGATTTTGAGTGAGGCCGCGCAGGCAGAATGCCTTTTCGTGGCCACCCTTCAGGACCCCAGCAAGGAGGCCAGCTATCGGCTTTAGACAGTCAAAGTCCTCGGCGCAGACTGCAAGAGCGTTTTGTAGGTGTGTATGTTTGTCTGTCTGTCTGTCTGTCTGTCTGTCCGTCGGTCTGTATGTATGCATGATTATGCATGCATGTATGTATGTATGTATGTATGTCGTAGTATGTACCTCGCCTGCTTCGACGGTGCGAGTGCTAAAAAATGTACTATGTACGCATGTGCGTGGCTACGTACACACATGCATTCTTCCATATCTGTAGCCTATGCATGTGAAACAGCATGTCTTTGCGTACAAGTGTGCTGGTATATCGAAATCTGCATCTGTGTCCACAGCTGCATCTCCATGTCAATCTCTATCTCCATCTTTATCTCTTCCCTCTTTCTATCTCCATGTCCGCCTCTATCTCTATCTGTCTCTCTGTATGTGTGCATGCCTGCATGCAAGTGTGTTTGCATATACAAATTCTTCATGTACATGCACCGGCTTACGGGAATGCGAATCTGCACTCATAGACTTAGATCCGGACTTCAGCTCATGATGCTGGCTTTTTTTGCAAGCGGGCACATAATCACAAAAGGATGTTGTCTGTAAGCAACAAGCTGAAACACAGCATCACCTTGATCCTGTGATCTAGGGGTTGATCTTCGGGCCTCTGTGCATGAGTTTGTGCGTGCATACTTGCGTTTATGTGCGAGTGCAGGTCTGTCATTCTGTGTGATATACCTTACGAGCTGCAAGCAAGAGGTTGAAAGCACTTGTGCAAAAGTTTCATATGTATGTTATTGCTCCCTGCACATACCTATTCTCATGTGGATATCTCATATTTGGTATTCTCAATATGTTTCTGTAGAAGGGTTTTTGATGGTTCCATCTCAGCTGGTTGCTTCATGCATGTCTGCGTGCGAGATCGTGTCTGTAGGCATGTGAATGGATTGACGCTTTCACCCGTATGTCGTTGCAAACCGCTTCAAGGCATCGTGCCCACAGTCAATTCCGGGTGCGTAGCCACACTTCGTTGATGTTTATGTGTATAGTTACGCCATGATGTGCACAGAATGTGCCAGTGTTTGAAGTGTCGCCACTCCCCCCTCGGCCACTTTTGGTGCCCCGGAGGTCCGGCTCACAGCGGCTGCCGCCCTCACGAAGCTGGGCGCGGGCCCTTCGGAAGGGTGGGGTTGAGTTTCGAATCCTCAGCCCTCATGGGGCCACATTGGACAAGAACTTCGGTGCTCTTTGCCTTGTTTTGGTGCTTGCGCTCTCTGTTGGCTTGGGATGAAGTCGGGGGTTTCGTAGGATTCCGAGCTACAGCAAGGTGGTCTCTACACCCAGCAGATCGCCCGGGTCCGAGAATTTCTCTGTTGATGCATTTGGTGTATGTATGTATGTATGTATGTATGCATACATGCAGTGTCGAGTGCGAGTGCTAAAAATGCATGCATGCATGCATGCATATATATATATAGATATACATGCATACGCACACACACAGATATATATATATATATATTACATATGTACATACATATTACACATATTATATACATACACACACATATACACATATACACACACACATATATCTATATATTTCCATTTATATTTCTATTTATTTTTATATTCGTACTTATAGTTGTAATTATGTATATATATATATGTATATATATATATATATAAAATACATATACATATACATATACATATACATATACATATACATATACATATACATATACATATACATATACATACATACATCCATGCATGCTTGCATGGATGGATGGATGGATGGATGGATGCATCTATGTATGTTTGTGTAGGTATTCGATATTCCCGGTCGAGTCCGTTCCTTCTGCCAGATCGAACGGTCTGCTTGGGGTGGTCGCCCCCTTCCCCTCGTGACGTGATGTGGGTTTGGGTTTGCTTGTGGTGGGTAAGGAAGTTACGGGGATTTGGTGTGTCTGGAACCGGGCCGGGGGCGGGAGGGGGGTGGGTGAACCGAGAACCGTGATCAGATATATATATATATACATACACATACATATATAAGTCTGTATATGTATGTATAGGTACGTCTAGCATTTGGTGTCTTCGTCGCAGCAAGGCCGAAGCTCTGGCCATGGCTTTGGAAGGCCAGTGCAACGGGGGGCCCCCAGAAAAAACACAAAGCGGCATTACACGGGAGCCCCGCAGGGCGTGGGGTTTACCTTAACCCACCAGGACCTACTTTTTTTTTTGTAGGGTCTTTATAGAGCCCATATTCGGGTCTATAATAAGAACCTACAAAAAAGTGGGTCTTGGTAAGTTAAGGAAGGGTTAAGGGGCGACAGAGGCCTGCTGCAAAGAGGGTTTAGGGTGAAGGATTCGGTTGTCCGGGCGAGAGTATCCCTGCAAAAGGATTTAGGTTCAGAGCTGGGCGGAATCGCTGGCTGACACTCAGAGCCGAGCAAAAGGGTTTAGGAAGTTTAGGGTAGGTTTAGGGTTTCCTTCTTCCTATGGTTGCATCCCTCGTTAAGTGGGAAGGCCCTGCTGTTGACGAGTGTTCGCTGGCACGCAATCCAAGCCCATGCTGAAAAGGGTTTAGGCTAAGAGAGCCTCTTTGAGTGGTGCTTCACGCAGCTCAGGGGTTCGCTGCTTTGGATGGCAACACGCGGCAGTTTCAAGATGTGGAAGCAAGACGGGTCTTGAAGGAGGCCATCAAGCATTCGATGATTCGTTAGCACTGCAGGCTTAGATAGCTTTACAGCAGAGGCACGAGCTTAGAACGTAGAGGTCTTGTGATCCCGCACCTGTGCCATGCCGCGACCGGCGAAGACACAAGAGGAGCCAACTGATTGTGGCCCGGACCCAGGCAGGGATTGTAGAAGAGGAGGGTGTTTGGGTGACAAAGTAGAGCAAGTCTGGGAGGTTTTGGATGCAGAAGACAGAAGACTGATTCAGGTTTCTTTCTTTCCAGTCGCCTTCTGATGACTAGATGACACAGACCTGGCTGAGCTCCATTGCAAGCTCTGCTAGCTGAATCGCCTTAAGGTCCCCAAACATTTCCACACCTCGACGCACCGCACCAGCATCTGCCGGGCCATGTTTGCACATGTGTACCGCTTCGGGGAAGCCCGGAGGAGGTCTCTGATGTATGTTTTGCGCGTGCTCCGGACGTCGGCACTGCACATGGGCTTGTGCAGGCACGGCTCTACTGGCGGCCTTGACCAGTGAGGTGGAACGGCTGCAGCGGCAGTTGCGGCAACTGGACGAGAACGGCCAGGCAACACATCAACATGGGACGCACGCCACATTACCACAGCGGTAGCTCAATCTTTACTTGCCACCAAGATTCGGCGAGCCCCCAATCAGTCACTATGCTTCGTCTTCTTAGTCACCATGGCCCAGAAGACTTCAAGCTAGTGGCATGCCCCCTGCCTGCCAGGCCATTCAGCCGCGCCTTCTGTGCGAATCAGTCCATGGTATGTCCCGTGCGCTCATCGGCCAGGCTCTGCAGCAGTTGGTGTCCAAGGTGGCAGAAACTGCTGTGCGACTCGGATGCAGAAAGTCTACCAGTTAAAGTCACCTCTGCGAGCTCGAGCCCTGCTCAGCAATCAACTGCGAGCCCAGGCCACAGCACATCGAGCTGCCGAAGGTCTCCGAGCAGGTTCGTTGAGAGTTCAGTGCTGAAGCATCCAGCAACATCACAAAGTCTTGGCAGGAGCTTGAAGCGAAGTGTCCGGCTCAGCTTTTGTCCCCAAGAGAACGCAGAAAGTAGCTTGCAGCACCATTGTTAAGCACCAAGAAAGTGTGCTTGCTGTGCGCAGCACTGAAGGCTCCGGCTTTAGTTGCTTTCAGAGAAAAGTTGGGGCAGTTAGTGCAGTGACCATATATATATATATCATATATATATATATCATATATTGTGTAGGATACAGGGGTAGTTTTCAGAGCCTCTCGTGCCATCGGCGCGGCCGGTCGTGATTTCTGCGTGGCGAGTTGGGAAGCCTCTTTGAGAATCAGCAGGCGCGCAGCATGAGCCTGTCGCCCGAGCTCAGCATCGCGCTCCAGTGCATAACTGCTTGCAATAAAAGCGAGCGCTTGCTGATGGTGGTGCGCGACGACCTCATCAAAAGTTTGCAAGCGGGACAGACCGCGGTGAATTATGCACACGAAGCGTGGATGCAGCTTGAGCGATGAGCGATTGGGTGCGGACGTGATGTCCATCGGAAGGTTGGTCGGTTTCGTTGACAGGGACAAGTTGCACAAGGCTTTCAAGGACTCCAAGCTGCTGATGCGCGACAGAGTGGTGTGGCAAGCTATGGGTCGTTTCCGCACGATGCTGGACACGCAGGTCATCATGGACTACCTGGCGGTCATCGTCAACAGCGACAACACACGGCTGAGCCAACTACGGAATGCCTACTACAAGGTGCGCGGTGGGATTCGGGCCTAATGATTCTAGGAGGACAGCTCAATTTCGTGTGGACCCGGTGCCAAATTCCTGAACCGACACCCGTGCTTCATGTAGAATATGTGTGGAAAATCGATGCCTACTGCCAACATCGATACACCTCTGATATGTCAGCACTCGGTTTTGTAAGCGCTGCCCTCGCGGAGGTACAATCTGATGTCGTTGCTGAGGTGATGGCGAACTACTATAGCTGGGAGAAGTTCGCCCGGAATGTGTGCGGCAATGTTGAAGATGACGATATGCAGGTCGTCCTCATGAACCTAGGCCGTCTGGTTGATCTCAGCGACCAGAATTTCTACCCGAGCTTGATGGAAGTTCCCCGCATGGTCAACGATGCTCTTTCGAAGACACGGCCAGAATCCCAAGCGCAGTTGCCAGGCGGCACGACCCCCAACATTCCAAAGATGACAGCTGATGCCACGGCCCTCCAGTCGTGCCGAACTTGGACGTGTTCTTGCCGACTTCGTGGACCCCGTGCATGAGGCCCTGAAGCTGAGTAACAAGTGGAGCCTCGTTGCTATCCAACACTCAGTTGCAGCCTGGGCGCGTCTGCGCAACGATGTCGAGGGAAGTGGGGTACTTTCGTGCGATGACGGGACTCGGAAGTTCCGCAAGCTCGACTCCCTCCTTCAGGAAGAGGTCTTGTGCACCTGCTATGCGTTCCTCGGCAAGGACGGTGTTGCAGACTTTGGGATGGTTGATCAGGTCATTCGCGAGCAATGCGAGTCGAAGAAAGACATGCCGCTGCTGAGCATTGAGGCCTTTCTCACCAAGCTGCACACGACACATTCGCACTTGCAGAAGGCAGCCCTCACAGAGTTGACATGCTCAGAAAATGTTTGGAAACGTACCCTGACGAGGATTGCGCAGCTTCTGCGCAAACCGAACAGTTGATTTGTTCTGGAGCACAGCCCATTTCAGCCTGCATGCTGTTTGAAAGGTTTGAGAAGGTGTTGCACAGCACTCGTTTCGCTGAAGCACTGGACTGGGCCATACGCACGAGTCACTGTACTCTAGAAGCGCAGATGAATCTGCAAGTCAGTTGTGCACTGTCGTGTGGGCCATGTTGCTCCAGAACGCAGTCTATTGCAACCTCCGTTCTCTGAAAAAATATGAAAACTTATTGTCATGGCAGTCGTTTCGCCAAAGCACTCGGCCACGGAAAAAGGCAGACTTTTGTGGAATCTGCAAGCCAATGGTGCACCCCCCCGCCCAGCAGGCCGTGTGCCCACAGCTATCCCCAGGATGCGAGGAGCCACGAAAGAACAGAGCAGGTCATCACCAGAGCTAGGTGAGTGTTGCTGGTGGAGCTGAGTGATATTTCGCAGAGGAGGGGGGGAGTGGGGTTCATGTGACATTCAAGGCACTCGACTTGCCCGAGTGAGCAACTTAAAGCCAGGTTGAGTGCAGGAGGAGTAGTTCGACGATGTCGGGGAAGACTCCAGGATAATAAACAGCCCACAGGGCACGCTTGGGAGGCAGCAGGCATGGAAATTCGAAGAGCCGCAGAGCAGACCCGGACCTTTTTCGAGACGTGTTCAGTCCTTCCAGTTCTGCTGGTGTGACAGCTGCATCAGCCTTCGGTCATGTCTTGTCCGCTTGCACCCGGTCCTGTCACAAGGTCGAAGGTTTCTTTCCAGCGACGTGGACAAGCCCCGGAGCATGCGAAGAGGAGACAAGTGAATGGTGATCGTAAGCGCATACAAGTGGGTATGGTGGTTCTGAGGATGTAAGGAGTCTTATGGTAGGCGTAGTTGTACTTGAGGCGGATGGCGATGAAGAAAATGACGAGCATGATGGTCGCGATGATTGTGGTGATGGCAGGCTTGAGGAGCAAGAGACAAGAGCCGGAGGGTGATAACAGTATCGAATTTCAACAAGCCCTCGTGTTTTTCGTAAGCAAGACTTGGCTAATCATCAAGACAGCAGCGATGTCAGGACCACAATCCCGACCGAAAAAAGGGTCCGACGATAGATGAGATTTCGAGCTGATGGTGTTGATGAGGTTCATCGCTGTTACTGGCAGTAGTACCACAGCTACAGTCGTACTGGCCTTAGTGGTCGTTGTCATCGCGGGTTCCATTCGCTTCGACGTTTCTATTTGGCACGAAGAAGAGAAAGCGAAAGAGCTTCGCTCGATGCTTTTGTGTGCGGCCCGATTTGCAAAGCTGCAAGTTGCAATGCATGTGCATGTTCACCATCCTGCGAAGTGCGATCTGCAGGTATGAGAGGAATTGCGATAACTGGTGTTGCCTTGCGAAGCGCGGGTTGTGTGTTCCGCCAGCAACGGGTCAGTCTGCGAGTGCCGTTCCCTTGCACGAACACTGCATTCGTGCCTGAAGAAGCATGGTCGCCATGGATGATCTGGTAACTCGAAGAGCCGGAGAAGTAGCGATATTCGTCGAGCACCACCCTTACCACCCGGCAGGGTTACTCTCAGGCGCACAAAGTTGCCCGTCAGGAGCAGCTCAAACCAGAACGCAAAGCCACGAGCAACTGCTCTTCCTATGTGACTCAGACCCCATTAAATTATCATGTCGGTGGGAGAGGTGGATCTTCGGGTGTGATGCAAGAGGGTATAGCTTCGGATTGAGCTGGCTTGTAGGAAATCATGGCTGCTTCAGGCACGCAGGAGCGTTACCGTTACGATCATGAAAATGAACATGATGATTTTCATTGCCTTTTTGTTATTATTATAGGCTGATCAGGGCCTCTGTCGTTCCAGGCGGCCACGCTACACGATGCTCCGGGCCTTGGATGACGAGGGCTTGGCAGGACAGCAAAAGTGGGCGCGGGTGGAGGGCAGTGCAGGGCTTCTAGGTTCTATTGTTTAATGTATTGAAAGGGTTTTGGGGCGTGTGCTCAGACCTTCAGGGGATGGCTCAAGTCCTGATGAAAAAATAAGAGTTTAGTGGCTTTTGCCACCTCACTGCCCAGGCTTGGAGACAGTGGGCGTGCAAGATGTGCGCAGGGTGCGCGAAGATCTACTTAAGCTCCAATTCCGTCGGTGGGGGGCTGAGGAGTTCAGCCTCGTGAAACAGGAGCTTTCGCATGCGCCCGTCGTGCAGAGAAGCTGGGGAAGAAGCACAGGTAGATAGCTCACCACAGGAATCCTTATCATCCTGTGTCATATCCATGGCATAACTCGTCTTGTCAGGCCGTGGCATGCTGCTGAACCTGCTGTGGGTTGTGTGTGAATCCCCCTTACCGTGCCAGTGGCGGCCTACATCTGGGGGTTTCTGAGGGACCCTAATATAGTACCCTAGATAGTAGGATCCTTATTAAAAGGAGCCCAAAAGAAGATACCCTAATTTTCGGAAAGTCCCAATCTCCTGCAATGGTCCTGCAAGACAGAGTTCGTCTGTGCCAGGCTGGACGCCAAGAACGAAGGATGCTTGCGTGCCTCGGCAGGGTTGGCACTTGGCGCATCTGGTGCTCAAAGCTGTCAGAAGGCCAAGGATGCCGGGTGGTAGTTGCGGATTTTGGGCAAGTTTTGGGCTTGGGTTCTAAGCTCCTGGCAAGGTAGATCTGTAGATTCGCTGTAGATGCTGAGAAATGTGAAGAGGTGCCGGTGCCTTGACGCAGCTGGGAGCACGCTTCGGAGAGACCCTCCTCGAGGCCGACGTAGCACTCTTGTGCCGCGGATGAACTTAGCTGCTTGAGCCTGTTACACGCGGAAGATTGGGACAGAGTTTTGCTACTTAAGACGAGCCTTGCCGTTCCAGTTGTGCCGTTTCTTCTCGGCGTTGGCGCTCCTTCTTCGCATACGATCTTTCTTGCAACTGTTCGGCGTTCGTGTTCTGCTTCCTCGCGTCATCAGGTGCCGGCAGATCGAGGCAAAGGGCTCCTCGCCGACCTCGCCTGCCAGGTGGGCTGTTCTGGACGCCCAGGGTGTTTTGGGGCTTCGAGTCTATGGAGCTTTAGGAACATGTGCTTTTTGTTGTTTCGCTTTGTGGCTTCACGCTCGATGGAAGCGCTTTAGTATATTCTTCAAGGAGGAGTTCTGCATTAAGGATCTGCAGTTTTCAGGGCAGAAGCAGTGATTGGAGTTTCAGCAAGAGGGTCTCGGATACGGCCTGGTCCGGAAGCTTTGTGCTTTTTGCTGGGCAGCGGACCTCGTGCTCTGCCGGAGGTCCAGTCCGCGGCTCGACTTTGAGGGCTTCTGCTCCTTGATGTCGCCCGAGGAAGAAGAGCGCCTCGATCGAATAGTCAGAGAAGCGGAGAAGCTTCGAGTCAGATCTATAGACCTCACGAAATGCTAAGGGAGCAGATGGAAGATTCCGTGGCTTAGCTGCGCAGAGCCGGCCGGCTCGTGGTCTAGACATCCTTGTGCCTCTGTGAGGCTCAAGAGACCCTCGCCGCTGTCAGGCAGTCAGCATACTCCAAGAGAGCATGCAGTTCCTGGGAGCCAGGCGGGCGGTCCGAGCAGAAGCCAAAGAGAAGCTCCAGGGCGAGCAGGCTCTCGGCGACACCCGCGGACTTCTAGAGCCATCCTGTGTGATTCTCTCGGTCTGCAGGACCGGAAGCTCCACACGAATGCGCACCGGATGAGAGGCTTTTGCGCTTCTGGGCTGCCTTTGGTCTCGACGTCGGACACAGTGTGAGAGTGGTGACTCCCAGGCGGTGTTCTTCGACGTCGTCTCGGTGGGCCCCCGGTATCTGACATTCAGCCTTGAAGTGAGAAAGTTGCCCAGGTCCTGGTGATTATCGCAAATGCCCTGGTCATGGGCTTCAGCACCGACGTGTCGCCTACGAGCTCCGGATGGGATGTGGCAGAACTAGCACCTTGGCATTCTCCCAAAAAAGAGGTGCATGCTGATCCGTCTTGTCTTCGGCGTCGCACGTGGTGGTGAGGGCTTCTTTGCATACTACACCGTGGAGTACGTGATCAAGCTGCGGCTACAAGGTTGCTTTGGATATTACTTCGGCTTTGGCCTCAGAAGAACATGCAGCTCCGGCATCACTTGTGCGTGCCTTGTGTGTCCTGTATACTCAATGCAAACTCAGGTGAGGAGGCTGCATGGAACTGGTTCGACAATGCCTGTTTAGTCGTATCTTTCGTCGCTACCTGGCTAATGTTACATGACGCGGCGGCATGGCAAAGAGGGGAGCATCGATGGGCGCAGTCCCATGTTGGAGTTCCTCGCACAGGAACTTCTCGTGACCTACATCGCGGACCCCACGCAGGATGGGCAAGGAGGCGTCGCGGGATGGCCTTCGCATCCGAAGTGCTTGGCAGCAAGTGTTGCTTAGAGGATTTGTGCGCGTACTGTAGTGTCAGCTACTGCTCGGATCACGAGGGCACGGAGAGCAAGCTGCAGCATTGCAAGACAGCGAAGTGTTCACTAGTACGTGCGTATCTCCGAGCTGAACTTTCTCAGTGCTTCGCTTCGTGATGCATCTGGGATACGTACAAACAGTGCTTTCCAGTTTTCGTGCTCCGCAGGCTTCATGTTGATGCGGATGTGGGGTGCTCGCGGTAAAGATGCCTCATGCCATGTCTATGACTCTATGAGTTGTTGGTGCGTAGGTCGCATGCTCTCAGGCTACGTCTTGCCAGACTTGCTCGCCTGGTGCCCTGGCCGCAGTGGGGCGGCCTCGGCCGGTCCGGACCAGGACTGGTGAAGACACACTCCTGCGACGGCCAGGTCAGGCTGATGCGTTTCCGCATGTTTCGAGAGCTGAAGCTGATGGTGCTGGGCCTTTTCTCTGGGCTCCGTGCCCTCTGCGCCTCGGCTTTATGCGATCTTTGCAACCGTCTTTGCAGGGTTCTGTTGCTGCTTCCTTGCTAGGCTGGGCGATTGTGCTGCTGATGCCTCGGCCTCGGCAGCTTCTGATCAAAGTCCAGTGTCGGTGTGAAACGTCACTTGTTCCCGAGGTTCATCATCTATACGATTGGGGTTCTCATGCGGCCCGAGCCGCGGTGTCGGGCAGGTGTTAGGCACTGAGAGCCAGAGGGCTAAGATGAGCTGAGGCTAGTGAGCGATGTCGAGGACGTCGGCTTGGGGACCTTTGGGCCGGGATTCTCTGGGCCGCAGACCGGCTGTGTGGCATTGCCCCTAATTATTCTGTTTACAGCGGTTGCTGTGTGGCACTG